AGTACCTCATTTCTCCCATTTTTTTCAGTGTTAGCAATTTTGTCCCAAGTCAAATTTGTATTCAACCGCCTCTTCTACGAACACTTGACGTGTAAGTCATCAATTCCCAGGACCAACATCGTGCAACCACAAGTTTTGTTCCATTGTGTAACACCCTAAAAGAATAATAAGGTAGGAGATAAATTCAACTCAAAACACCAGGCAAGTCTAGAGTTTAACAAGAATTCACCCGATACATATGGGAAAAGTAAAACGTTTACGAAACAACAAATGGGTCAATAAATAACAACATATTAATCTAAACAACTCCATGCCCAAATTAAGAACGAGTGTTTCTACCAACTCCAACAAAAAGCAGTATCCTCGAGTGTTGTAACGCTCAAATCACCAAATACCTTATCCAAAAAAACTTTACAATACGATGATCCTCTCAACTCTTTTTATCCCCACTGCTAATGGAACCTGACAAACAACCACATCAAGAAAAAGTGTTAGTTCTACGCCTAGTGAGTCCAAACAGTGAATTAGTTGAACTGCAAGTCCTATATATATATATATACATATATTCATTTATATATATACAAATATAAATACGATACGTAATTTTAAACGATTTACCGAAGATGACGAAGATGACGGGGGAGACCTGATTTACCGTTGGTTATGACGGAACACAAAGTAAGACATAAATCAACATTATAGAGCATCAATTTCATGTTTAATACCATTGACATCAACCTAAAATAGTCATGAAGTCAACCATGATCTTAAGCTCTTTATATCGGTAGTTACATAATTATCATAATGCCTATTTCCGAGTGGAAGTGAGAAGATGATTTGGTAATTACATAATAATCGTAATGCCTATTACCAACTTACACCATCATTCCCACGAATAAAATAAAACGACATCCATGTCTATAATTCCATTATATTCTAGTGACATACTCAAAATACGATGCTTTTAGCATATACACATTTATTCGTCACTAAGATTTTGCATGAACCCTTAGTCTAATGAAGCATTCCCATTCGCCAATAAAACTCCGAATGTAGAACATAAGGGTGTTAGTGTCTTAAGGCCAACAATACTTAGAAATGAGTGTTTTACCAAGTGATTAAATCCTTTCTCCCAACTCATCTTTCCATTATAGGCGGGATCCCTAAGTTCGTTCTTATACTTAAAAGAAATCTCCATTTCCAACCAAGCAAGTGATTTCACAAAATTAAAGTATAAGATAAGTATAATGCATCATTTCAATTAGTGTATGGTTTCATAATTAGGAGTAGAATGAACTCACATCTTAGGATTTAGGTGAAATTCTAAAATCTTGAAACTAAATGGAAGGTGGAAAAGAGTTCTAAAAAGAAGTAGGTAACACTCCTAAACAGGAGGTAGCAACAGGTGGAGTCTAAAGGGGAAAGAAGGAAGAGGAGTAGGTTGCCGGCGCGATGCAGGGTGCGGCACAGCAGCGCAGCAGTGCAGGGTGCGGTGCGGCTCAGCAGCGACTGCTGCTGCTGGTAAGGTCCGAAATGCGGAGGAGTCGAGGGGGCAGGGGCGTGGCTAGAGGTAGCTCAGGCGGTGGTAGAAGCTTTCGCAAGAAGATCGAGAAAGAGTTCTTCTCCCACCCCAAACAGCCGGCTTCCACATCTGGGTTTTTTTTGGCTCTCCCTTATACCCAACAAGGAGATGGTTCCCTTTTCTTTTCTATCTTTCCACAGGTACTGCCCTATCTTTAATAATATCCTAACTCTAAAATTTACATGGAAGTTAAGAACCTCCATGTAAGAGGGGGAACCTCTAGAGAAAAGGGGTGAAACAAAAGGGTAGGTGAAAAGCTGCAGGTACCCCCCCCTTCAAATTCAACACTCCACATAATTCAAAAAGAACCTTCCTCCCTAAATAAAATTATATATATATATATATACGTATATACTTTACAAAGGAGGATTTACATGGTATAAAGTGCTTTAAACACAGATTAAGTAAATGAAAACGCATACCTTATTTTTTTTAACAAGATGAAAACCTTGACGCACACAGAGCTGGGAAAGGGGGAAAAATTTCAGGTGTTACAATCTTCCCCACCTTGGATCAAATTTCGTCCCTCGAAATTTTAGCTCACGTGAAGAGGTGGGGGTAACGCTTCTTCAAGTCCTCTTCCGCTTCCCATGTCACGTTTGATCTTCGATGATGTTTTCATTTTATCTTTACCATGACAACCTCCCCGTGCCTCAACACCTTGGTCTTGCTTTCCAAGATGGCTTCCTGTTCTTCCATGCATTGCTTGTTCTCATCTACACGAATTTTCGAAAGTGGTATCACACTTTCTTCTTCCGTCAAGCACTTACGAAGGTAACACACATGAAATGTGTTATGGATTCTGGCCATTTCTGATGGTAGTTCTAATTTATAAGCCTGAAGTCCCACCCTAGCCAAGACTTTAAACAGTCCAAAGAAACGGGGACTTAGCTTTCCACGATTTCCAAAACGGATAATACCTTTCCATGGGGACACTTTTAGCATTACGCGGTCGCCCACTTAAAATTCCATAAGTCGACTCATCTTGTCTGCGTAGCTCTTTTGTCGATCCTGCGCCGCCTTTAAACGCTCCCGAATACATTTCACCTTATCGGCCGTTTCTTGTACGATTTCGAGACTGGCGAATTGTTTCTCACCCGCTTCAAGCCAACACACAGGAGTCCTACATTTTCGACCATACAAAGCCTCAAAAGGTGTCATTCCGATACTGGAATGATAACTATTGTTGTAGGCGAACTCCACAAGGGGTAGGTGAGAATCCCAATTCCTGCCAAAGTCGATAACACACGATCGAAGCATGTCTTCGAGGGTTTGAATGTTACACTCACTCTGACCATCGGTTTGAGAATGGTAAGCTGTACTCAACTTCACCCTCGTGCCCAATTCTTTTTGTAAGCCACCCCAGAAATGAGAGGTGAATCGGCTATCTCGATTCGATACTATTGACAACGGTAAACCGTGCCTTGAGACTATTTCATCGATGTACAACCTGGCAAGCTTCTCCATTGGTAATGATTCACGCATTGCCAAGAAGTGAGCGCTCTTCATCAGTCGATTAACCACTATCCAAATTGTATCATGACCTCTTAAGGTTTTCGGCAGTTTGGTCACGAAATCCATCATAATATGCTCCCACTTCCACTCGGGGATTTTCAAGAATTAAAGGCTACCATAAGGTTATTGGTGCTCCGCTTTCACCTACAAATAAGTCACACACCTCTCTACATAATGAGCTATATCAAGCTTCATAACGGGCCACCAATATGTCAATTTCAAGTCCCGATACATCTTGGTGCTACCCGGGTGAATGGAGTATTTAGACTTGTGTGCATCTTCCAGCAACAGTTCACGATTGCCCCTAACCTTGGGTACCCATATACGTCCTTGAAACAACTTTAAGCCACGACCATCCTCCGTAAGAAGTAAGTGTTGTTTCATCATTACTCATTCTTGAGGTTTCCTTCCAAAAGTGATTCAGACTACGTCGCTTTGATCTGATCAATTAAACTAGATATTACATCAATCCTGGTAAGCACAACTTTTGTCCCACTACCGTACTCCTTTCGGCTCAAAGCATCTGCCACTACATTAGCCTTACCCGGATAGTATAGTAATTCGCAATCGCAGTCTTTGAACAGCTTGAGCCAACGCCGTTGCCTCATGTTTAATTCTTTTTGATCAAAAATGTACTTCAAACTCTTGTGATCTGTGAAAAGCGTGCACTTGATTCCATAAAGGTAATGTCGCCAAAACTTTAAGGCGAACAACACCGCCGCTAACTCCAAATCGTGAGTGTGATAATTTTTCTCGTGATCTTTGAGTTGTCTTTAGGCGTATGCTATCACCTTTCCCCTTTGCATCAAGACGCAACCCAACCCCATTTTCAAAGCGTCGCTAAAAACTACGAAGTCTTTGGATTCTTTTGGCGAGGAGAGAATTGGGGGTTCACATAATTTCTTTTGGAAAGTTCTAAAAGCATATTCTTGTTTTTCTGTCCAGATAAACTTTTCATTCTTTCTAGTCAATGTCGTCAAGGAAGAAGCGACCTGGGAGAAATCTTAGATAAATCTCCTGTAATAACCTGCTAGATCCAAGAAACTTCAAATCTCTGACAGACTCTTTGGTGGTTCCCAATTCATCATCGCCTCGATCTTGGATGGGTCCACCTTCACCCCGTCTCGAGTGATAAAGTGACCCAGGAATTGGACCTCCTTTAACCAAAAGTCGCACTTGGAGAATTTTGCATACAACTTCTCTTTTCTTAACACTTCAAGAACTTCTCGAATGTGTTGTTCATGATCCGTCTCGTCCTTGGAATAGACGATTATGTCGTCAATGAACACTATCACTGACTTATCAAGAAATGGTCGGCACACTCGGTTCATCAAGTCCATAAATACCGCCGGTGCATTCGTCAAACCGAAAGGCATGACCAAGAATTCATAGTGCCCATATCGTGTTCTAAAAGTTGTCTTCGACACATTATCTTCTCTTACTCGCACTTGGTGATGCCCCGAACGAAGGTCAATCTTTGAGAAGCAACTTGCTCTCTGAAGTTGGTCAAAAAGGTCGTCTATCCTAGGAAGAGGATATTTGTTCTTCATGTTTGCCTTATTGAGCTTTCTATAATCAGTACACATCCTCATGGTGCCGTCTTTTTTTTTTACAAATAAGACTGGAGCTCCCTATGGTGACGAACTCGGTCTAACAAATCCTTTCTCCAGAAGGTCTTGTAATTGAGATATCAACTCTTGCATCTCAGATGGCGCCAAACGGTAAGGGGATCTAGCAATTGGAGCGATTCCCGAAACAAGGTCGATTCAGAACTCCATATGTCTTTCGGGTGATAAACCGGGTAAGTCTTCAGGAATACATCGGGAAATTCATTAACCACATTCACATCTTCAATTCTTCTTTTCTCTAGTTTGGTATCCAACATGTACGCAATGAACGAGGATCATCCCTTGGCTAGACACTTATGTGCCTTTGTCGTGGATAAGAGTACTATATTTCCTTTCCTTCCTTCTCCGTAAACTAGCACCGCGTCCCAGTCCGGCAAAGGGATTCCGATCAACTTTTTAGAGCATAAGATTTCTGCTTGGTTCTCTACCAACCAATCCATCCCAATTATGACATTGAATCTGCCTATAGCCATGGGTATGAGATCTACCCGAAATTCCTTTCCTTCAATTCCCAACGCACAACTCATAACAATTTCACGCACCAGAGCTTGACTACCATTTGCTATCTCTATGATCAATGCATCTTCTAGTGCACTATGGGGCGTATGCAAGTGTTGATGGAATGTAGTGGACACAAAGGAACATGAAGCACCTGAATCAAAAAGCACATGTGCAGGTATGGAGTTAATAAAGAACGTATCCGACACTACATCCGTCAATGCCTTAGCTTCTTCTCTCGACATCTGAAAGGCTCGACCGGTTGCTTTCGGGGTGCTCTCTTTTCTTTCTTGACTCCCACCCGCTCTCAAATTTTGGTAGTCATTCTTGAAGTGACCCAGCTCTCCGCATCCAAAACATATGGGTCCCACATTTAAAGCATTTTGTGGAAGTAGAGTTGGTGTTACACGGGCCGTGATGTTTACTGTGGCATTTGGGACACCATCTAGCCTCTTGTTTGGGATAGTCTCCGCGATTGTTGCTGCCAAAATGGTTTGGCTTTTTGGATGGTGCATAAGGCCTTTCCCACTTCCTCTTCTCTCCACTCGCCATCCTTTCTTCTTTTCCTTTAACATATACCGACTCCATGACCTTTGCTTCCTCGATTGCCTCCCTAAGGGTGAAGGCTCTGGAGTTCATGACCATCATCATCATGTCCGCAGGCAACCCTTTGAGGTAGGCTTTCATCCTATCCTTCTCTGTTGGGGCCACATATCCCACTAAATTTAGCTTTTCCATGAAAGGTCGGGTGTAGTCCCTTACTGACAAATTTCCCTTCTTAAGGGTTCGAAACTCTTCTTTGACGTGGTCCATCTCTTGCTCATTGTAATATTCTTCCATTACCTTCTCTTTGAAAGTGCCCAACCCATCTTGGCCAATTCTGTAACCTCTATGGTTGAGATGACAATGTTCTACTATGTAAGAGCTGCACCTCTCAGCATTTGAGAGCCAAACTTCACTTTTTGCCCCTCATCACAGTCACAAGCCCGAAAGGCTTGCTCGATCTCCCGAAGCCAATTCATGCACGCCACGGGATCGTCCGACCCAACAAATTCTGGTGGTTTGCAACATAGAAAGGTCTTGTAAGAGCAAGCTCTACCCATTTGTCTCGCCTCAATCGTCGCTAACTCCTGGGTTGGGATTCCATTTCCGGTACCCCAAAATCCGCCAATAGTTACATTCTCGGCAACCGCTTCATGCTTATGGTTGTTAGCATCTCTGTCCTCCAACAGCTTCATAAAGAATTCTTGTTGTTGGGCCATAACTCTATTCATAGCATTCAGCATTGTGCCTATCATTCTTGACTCCGGGGTTTCCTCTTCGATTATGGGATTAGAGGTGGCAAGGTCAACTTGGGGAACCTGTTCAACTCCACCTCCCAAGGTGTCTTGCCTAGGATGAACCGTTGCGATGGTGGTTCGTGGCGGTTGATCCACGGTGGATTCAGTCACCGTATGACCTTTCGGTAAGGTATGTCGTCTACTCCGAGTATTCACCATTTTAATCTGCCATATAATAGAGTGAAAGAGAGTTAGGATTGGAAGATACGGAACTAACATAATACGTATCCACACATTCATAAATCCTTGCAATAACAGTAAGTCCAAGCATGCTTATGTAACAACATACTCAAAATGACATTAGCTAAGTGAAATTTCGACTAAGTTATACGTAAGGATCCTCAACACCGTCGTCGCAATTCATGAATCATGTATCCCCGATGACTCTAAGGCTCTACTATCTTAATAGTTTCTACCCACATCACACAAATTTAAAACTTACAAATTCAACTTAAGTCTAGGCATCTTGATTCTTCACCTAGTTCACTTAAACTAGGGCTCTAATATCAACTTGTAACACCCTAAAAGAATAATAAGGTAGGAGATAAATTTAACTCAAAACACCAGGCAAGTCTAGAGTTTAACAAGAATTCACCCAATACATAGGGGAAAAGTAAAATGTTTACGAAACAACTAATGGGGCGATAAATAACAACCTAATAATCTAAACAACTCCATGCCCAGATTAAGAATGGGTGTTTCTACCAACTCCAACAAAAAGCAGTATCCTCGAGTGTTGTAACGCTCAAATCACCAAATACCTTATCCAAAAAAACTTTACAATACGACGATCCTCTCAACCCTTTTTAGCCCCGCTGCTAACGGGACCTGACAAACAACCACATCAAGAAAAAGTGTTAGGCTTACGCCTAATGAGTCCAAACAATGAATTAGTTGAACTGCAAGTCCTATATATATATATATATATACAAATATAAATATTGTAATATTCGATTTAAGTATTTTGAGATTTTTAAATTGTTTTACTTATTCATGATGGTTAAGTATGCATGCGGTATGTGTGTATGTGAGTTTACATACATTTTTTTTAAAGGTACATGTGCATACATGTGAAGGGGGCGGTTTAACCGCCATACTCTTTTAGAAAGAGTATATAAAGAGTAAGAAGTTACCTTTCATCAGTTGGACATTTTTGGTTATTTGGAGAGAGAGATCATCCAGATTACATTTTGGTTGATTTGCAAGAAGTTGAATTTTCTTACCAGTAGTTCAAAGGTGAGTGTATTATGCTTTAAGTATAAATTGTTGTTTACAATTCATTGCTATTAGAACTATCTTATTATGAACCGCAATATATACATCGTACGGATTCAACCTTAAACTGGACAAGCGTTGTCTGGATTTCATCTAAACCGGTCAAGTGTTGTCTGGATTCAATCTTAAACCGGACAAGGGGTGTCTGGATTTATCTTAAACCGTTCAAGGCATCACCAGATATCACTTAAACCGTTCAAGGCATTACCGGTTTAAAGTTAAACCGCTCAAGGGTTGATTAGTTTACTACTAGAACAATCATCACCCGGGTTCTTTATTTTAAATGTTGACCGGACTTCATATTCGGACAAGGTATCCGAATTTCTAATCCGGACAAGAAGTAACCGGATTTCATATCCGGCTAAAGTTGACCAATTATGTTATTGGTTTTAGCTTAAATTGAAGTAATCGCGGGAGAGATGTAACGACGGTGTAACCGCGAGGGAGATGTAATGGCGGTGTAACCGCGAGAGTGAAAGGGATCTATAATGAATATAGATAAAATACTTGTATCTGTACATGTTTTATTCTAAACTGTTAGTTTGGAATGTAGGATATTTGTATGAGATTTGTACACTCACTAGGCCTTTTTGGTCTAATGCTCAGTTGTTGGACTAACCTGTTTTGCAGGTCATCATACATTGCAGGACAAAGGCAAGGGGAAAGTTTAAACGTTGATATTTAGATACTCATAAATGTATTAAATAAAGTTTTTGTTAGCCCATGTTTTGTAAACAATATAACGTTTGGTTATTAAATGTGGTTATTATATAATACATGTTAGTACAAAATGTGGGTTGTTACAGTTGGTATCATAGCCTTAGTTTAAGGGATCTGGGTATTTGGTAATACTTAGACTTAAACTGGAAGTGTGGAAATTATGATAATAGGTTTCACTGGAACTATGAACATGGGAATATGTTATAGCTGAACTTATTATGAAAAAGTTAGATTATATATGACTAATATAATCTTGAGTTATGGATAGACTTGAGGATAAATGTGTTATCATGTTTTGATTATGTGAATAATCGTATATGTTTAAATGTGACAGAAAGAGACGTACACTGATAAATGGTAGATAATCCTAATCAATCAGAAATGATCTCTACCGATTATGGAAGAGGTCGGGGAAGAAGAAATGTAACCCAAGGAGAGGGCCCGAAAAATATGATGATAATAGAAACGCGAAGTCGCAGCAGGAGTCGAGGAAGAGGGAGAAGTACTAGACAAGAAACTCGTATGGAACAAGAATTGTCGACACAAGAAAGTTTAATGTCTGGCCGTGGAAGAGGAAGAGCAAGGGGTGGACACAATATTCCTGATCCCGGTTTTATTACTCAGGAAATGTTGGTAGCTGAGTTGGGAAAATTCCAAGAGAGTTTGGTGAATTTGTTGGGATGTTCGGTTCCAAATAACCTAGAAATAATAAGGGATCCTGAACATCAGGAAGAAGCCGGAGCTAGTACACCGGTAATTGGTACATCTGTACCCCTTACTTCGTCTTCAGTTCATAAAGGAGGGGATATCAAAATGTTTCTTGCCTGTAAACCTCCAAATTTTTCTGGGGAGCGTGACCATGTTAAAGCCATGTGTTGGCTTAAAGAAATTGAGTTAAGTCTGCAAATCAGTAAAAGTGCAGAAGAAGACAAAGTTATGTTTCATGTATCCCGTTTAAGGTCAAGTGCTTTATATTGGTGGGAAGTTTTGTCAAGTTCAGATACAAACATTCTGAAAACCATGTTATGGGAGGAATTTATGATCAAGTTTAAAATGCAATATTGTCCTGAAGTGGCAGTACGGAAACTAGAAGATGATTTCCTTCATCTAGAACAAGGAAATATGTCAGTTCGTCAGTACACAGAAGTCTTCATGGAACAATCCCGGTTTGCTAAAGCTTAATTATATCAAAAAATAGTAAAGTGATAAAGTACATCTGGGGTTTAGAGTCTAATCTCCGGAAGTATGTGTTATCCAGGAATCCGACAACATTTCAAGCAGCAGTTGACGCTGCTGAGATACTGGAACAAGACATCAATCGACAACCACAAGAAAGGGTTGAAGATAAAAGAAAAGGGGAAGCTGCAATGACTAATTTCCGTAGATCAAGGTTTATGGAAAATCTGAATCGACCAGTCCCAAGGTTTGCTGATAAGGCATGCATACGATGTCACAAAATACATCAAGGAAATTGCAATACAGAGTCGCGAGTATGTTTTAAATTTAGGAACCAGAACATATAGCTCGAGACTGTCGAATGATGGGAAGATGTTTTACTTGTAATTCCTTTCAACATATCAATGCCGATTGTCCACAAGCGAAGGGACAAGGGTCTGGTTTTGCTAGAGGTCGAGGATCTGGATATTCTGGGGGCCGATGATCTGGTTATGTGCCAACAGGTCGTGGGTCAATGGATACTCATATTATCCCAAGTGGTCGAGGAGAGATAAGACGTGGGGAGTTAAATGCTAAAAGGAGAGCCTTTCAGATGACGAGAGGCGAAGCGGAAGAACATCCTGAAGTGGTGACATGTACATTCCTTGTTAATTCAGTATGTGCCAAAGTTTTATTTGATTCTGGAGCAAATCGTTCTTTCGTGTCACCATCATTTGTCAACTGCGCACATTTAGAATCTAAAGCATTAAGTGAGGATTTAATTGTGGAAATAGCAAACGATAGTAAAGTTTCGATTAAGGAAATAATAGATGAATGTTTTATAAGTATAGACGGGTGTGAGGTGCCTATACAATTATTTCCTTTGCCTTTAAGGGAATTTGATATAATTATAGGAATGGATTGGTTAGCTAAAAACCAAGCTAACATAGTCTGTGATGAAAAGATGATTCATATAGACTTATCAGAAAAAGGAAAGGTTGTAATTTATGGGGACCGACGAGATCACTACTCCAGTCTTATCTCAGTTTTAAAAGCTCGGAAATATGTACAGAAAGGATGTGTTA